GAGCTGGTTTAACTCGTCAGCTTTTTGCCCTGGGATGAAGTAACCCATTTGCTGCCCCAGGCTGAAGCCCTGTGCCTGTGTCCTGCCCCCATGCTGCAGGAGAGGACAATGACCTCTTTGGTAGGTGGCCCTTTTGGCTGCTTTGCATCAGGCCAGGAGACTGTGTCTCTTCAGGATCCTGGGGACAGCATCCTCAGGATGAGCATGGCACTGTGGAAAGGTCCTGCCCTGTGCTGCTGCAGACAGGGCTTTGCCTGGTGCTCCCTGCTGCAGTGGCAGTGACCATCAGTGGTCACCGGAGTTTGCTGTGCAGCCAGCTTGTTCAGAGGTGTGAGAGGTCACCTCCACCCAGCGTGGAACCCGTTAGCGCAGGAACCCTAGCCCAGCATCAACCCTTAGCCATGGCCTCGACCTCTGACTGTGGTCTCACCTTCTAGCCTGGGATGGACGTGACATAGAAAGCGCAGCAGAGCTGCCCTGTTGCTGCAACACCCCAGCTGAGGGCAGGTCCAAAGAAGGGACCCAAAGGAGGAACCCAAAGGAGGACAACACTGTTGATGGGCTGGAGGGGAGCCTGGACCACAGCCCGTCCCCTCCGAGCTGCTGCAGAATGAGCACCATCAGGAAGGTTTGGTTCCCCATGCATCTTCTCAATGTTGATCATCTCTCCACACCTGAGTAACAGGGAGGCTTCTGCCCTCCCAGGGGGATTTAGCATGGTGGCAAGTACCATCTCTTCCCCTTTGAGCAGGGAGGGGCCTCAGGAAATACTAAATAGCTGCCGGATGCGTCACTGCAGCAGCTGATCTAGGGTGGTGAGTCATGGCCAGCCTGCCAGCACTCTGGCATGCAGGGTGGTGGTAAGGGGCCACTCCTCTCCCCTCACTGCTTGCTGTTTACTCATGTATTGGTTGGGGTTTTTTTTACTTGTGTGTCTGCACAGAGCTGGGATGAGCATTCCCCTGGTATCAAGCAGGAGAGGAGCGAGAGGGTCAGGATCAAAGCAGGAACAAAATGAGCAAGAGTAGCCCAGCATCTGCCTGGAGCACATCCAGATACAGAGCCACTGGTCTCCATGGACGTGTTGGTCCTCCTTGGAAGGTGGGCTTATCACAGCCTGCTCTCAAGTACGAATACGTCGTTATTAATTATGAGTCTTTCTAACTCAAACCCTGACCCGAAAGGCTGGTCTTCTGCCTTTAGGCAGTTTTAATTACGCTTGCTGGGAAGCTCTCCCTGTGCCGCTGCTCTCCTGCCTGCCTGGCCCTATACCCAGCTCTCTGCCAGGGGGTGGATGTAGCAAGGGAGGTGAGCAAACCCCCAGAAATGGGTAAAACCTTGGTGCTGGTGGAGTGCTTGGCTCAAAAGCTTCACGCTGGTCCCAGATGGTGCTTGTTAGGAGCTCTGGTGGAGGTGTTTGGGGTTTGGGTTGCAGTTAGCCTTGCCATTAGGTGCAGAATTGGTGAGGTGTTTTTTTTTCTTGTGTGTGGCAAAATGTGGGACAAAGGCACTTGCAGAATGTCTGTAATCCTTGGCTGCAAGGTGCTGTCTCAGCTTCTGAGAGTCCTTGTGAGGGACACAGGGACATCCCTGCAAATCAGTGGCAGCCCTTGCTCTGTAAGGAGGGTAACCAGCCAGTTTTCTTGGCTGGACATGTATTATTTCAGGTCCAGGGAGATCACCAAACCCTTGCAAGTCCCAGCAGCCATCAGGGTGATGCTTTGCAGGAGCTGTTGAAAACATGCATCCTCCTGCACGTGCAGAAATGCTCCTTCATCTCCTCTTTCTTTAGCTCAGCAGCTCTGGGGAGGTTGGGAGATGGCGGTACCAGGAAGCAAAATGAATCTGCAAGATCTGAGATTGTGAATTTTTAAATTTTTTTTTTTTTAGTGCCAGCATTTGAAATTCCAACTCCTAGTTAGGAAATTTGTTGAAGTTGTGGTATGAATCATCACTACCCTGAATTTTAGGACCCATCGCATGGGGAAGGGAGCAGAAAATTAGTCACTTTGTTAATCTGCTTCCAGTAAAAGCAATTTAGAAATCCACAGCGGGGGAGAAGGGGGGGAATAAGAATAAATTGAGAGTGGCTTTTGGGCGTGTCCATCGTGTGTCCTAGTGGCCACAGCCACCTGCTCGCTTCTCTGTGCTGGTCTCAGGGCAGTTGGCAGGGCCTGGCAGCTGCCTGCACTTCTGGTCCGTGGTCAGAGTGACCTCCCAGAGCGAATACAGACATAGGCAGCTGGAAGCTGGCCTCCCGCAGAGAAGTGCTTCTTCCCCAAGAAGCTGGTTCTGAAAAAACCACCCTTTTTGCTACCTGGTACTGTAATGAAGGCACCCACTAATTAAAGCAGGGGTCTGCAGTAAAGCTTGGGGAGAAGGGAGGTTGTATTGACAAGTGAGCAGAGACACCTCCCAGCTGCTGATTTTTTAGGAGGGATGGTAGAGAGCTAAGGGGACTGCAGCAGAGATGATGCTGGAGGCGAGGTTTTGGGATTTATTGCCTGATGGCTTCTAGGGCGAGTCTGGGTTTTTTTTTGACCCAGGGTGATGTTGGTGTGATGGAAAATTGGGGATGAGATGCTGTGTATGGTTTGTCCCTCCAAGCAGAGACTGGTGGGTGCAAGGAGCATCACTGGTTCCCTGAGATGAGGATGAGCTTCCTTCATCTGGTCAGATCCTCTGTGAGCCCAGGACGTTGGGGGAACAGGGGCAGCCAGCCTGGTTTTGGGTGGGCTGGGGGAACTAATCCTGCCCCAGGAAGGGGTGAGGGGTGGGGAGGCAGAGGAGGGAGCAGCCCCATCCCCTGGCAAGGGGGCAGATAGTATCCTGTATCCATTAGTGAGCTGGGGATGGCAACCTCCAAAAACCCCACGGGTTACAGTGAGCAGTCAGTTAATGGGGACCCCCTTTACTTGCAAGGACTTTTAAGGAAATAATAATAAAAACAATTGGATTTTGGGAACGCTGGGGGATGTGGCAGGGAGAGATGCAGAGGGGAGGGGTGCACCAGCTGCTTTTTGGGGCTTTTCCCCCTGTATCAGGTGAAAAGCTGGCTGCCGCCACTCCCAGCTTTTTGGTAGCGGTGTGCCGTGTGCTGGCTCCTGGTAAATGATTGCCAGGGTGGCCAACCAAGGCGGGGCTGGAGGTTGGTGCTGGGTTTGAACCCAAACAGGGGCCTGAGACTGGTGTGCCGGGGGCCATCCCACTTCCGCAGCTGGCAGTGTTCAGGCACCGCTGGATATTTCGGGCAAGGTGAGGCTGTGCCATGCGACTCAATCAGCTGGGTTATTTTTTTCTTACTTATTTCAAAGCTCCTGGCCTCCTCGCAGAGTTGGGGCAGGGGAAGCCAGGTTCAGTGCTAGCCAGGACCCTGGCTGGGGGGGGGTTGGGGCTCCCTGGGGTGCGTTGCCACCCCAAATGTGGTCTTGGGGTGCCGTGGTGAGAGGGGGACAGTGGCTCTGGGGTGAGCTGGGTGGTGCCGCGGTAGCACCTGGACTTTGCTCTGCACCAGGGGCCAATTGCAGCCTTGAATGCACAGAGTGGGAGAGCAGTGCCAAAACCAGCGTTGAAATGAAACTGGGCTGAACCTTGAGAATTTTAGTGGTTTTGGGCTCAGCCGAGCCCAAGGTGCCCTTCACCCCCTGCTGTTTGCATGGCCGCCCAGCCAAGGCAAACATGAGCTCAGTGCCAAGGTATTTGCAGTGGCCACTCTGTGCCCACATTTCAGGGGCAGCACCTGTGGGGAACGGTCTCACCAAGCTGTATCATCCCCGGTTCCTCCTTGCCTTTCTTGCAACATGGCAAAAATCCCTCATCACCAGAGGTGGGACCCTTCGACCCTTCCTTTGATGACTTAAGCAGGCAACAAAAAAGTAAACCAAACCTGCTGTTCAACCTGAGGGTAAGCTTTCTCTCAGCCCAGCTGCAGGCTTGGGAGAGCTGAAGCTGAGGGATGGAGAGGCTGCCACCAGCTGGGTTAGGTTGGGAAAGCGGTTTGGGACCCCTGGACTGAGAGCCTGGAAACTTCCTATATACGTTCCTCTACCCACGGGTTTCAGACAAGCCTGATGATGGAAAAAACAACGTTCGGGGGGGGGGGGGAATATATATATTTATTTACACAGTGTTTGAAAACACTGTAAACTCCAGTAGTTGAATTCTTTATAGCTGTGCTTCCTTTTTTATTATTATTTGTATTTTAAGACTGTTGCAGTTGTTGAACAGGAGAGGCAGAGTTGGGTGCACCTGGGCTAATGAGTGTCATTTCAGTGCAGGAGGTGTTGGGCAGAGCATCCTCTGGAAGCCCAAGTTTCACTGTGGCTGTTCATGCCTGACTCCTCCTCCCAAACCCCACCTTCGGTCACATTCTTTTGGAGAAGGAGGCTTTATTTTAATTTCTAAATCTCTCTCTGATAAATTGAGATGAAGGTAAATAGATGAAAATGTGCGTTATCTGCACCTTCTCTCAATATCCCATTGCAAGGGTGGGCAGCCAGTGGTTTCTCTGACTTTTCCAATATTGTCCAGAAAATCCCCCTTGCCGTGCTGCCAAATTGTCAGAGAATTTGCAGTGAAAGTCCAGCAAACCCATTAAAAGTCTGTATTCACAGCAGAAATAACTGAGCAACTTCTGATCACCATGCAGGCACACAAACCCCATCATTTCCCACAGCAGGAAGATTTGGACCTGGAGGAAAAAAAAGGTGTTTTTTGGGTTTTCTTTTTGCAGATGAACAACAGTGTTTTAGTAATACGAACAAAAATGCAATCTGTGCACAGGGAGAGCCATGGAGGTGGATGAAGGGCAGCAGTGAGCAACTGCTTGGTCTGGGATGCACCTTACATGATGCTGGTGTTAAAGATGATTTAATGACGCTGGTCTTACAGTGTCTCATACTCCTCGTTAGCAGCTTGGAATGAAAACCTGGTTTCTTTTCTCCCTGCAGGCAGCCCGTCCTGCGACGACCCAGTGCATCTGAGGCCCAGCGGCTGTGGGGATGGAGCTGAAGGTCTGGGTGGACGGGATCCAGAGGGTCGTCTGCGGTGTCTCCGAGCAAACCACCTGCCAAGAAGTGGTCATCGCCTTGGCGCGGGCCATCGGTGAGCCGTGTCCATCTGCTGGGGGGATGTACCTTCTGCAGGTGCTTCCTGGGAAGAGGAGATCTTGGGTGTGTGAGGTCCTGCTCTGGGGTGGTGGGGATTTCATCATCCACTGCCTGTGGGGCAGGAGCCTTGGCACATCACTGATGGCCATGGCTTTCCCCATCTGACGCGCTCACCTCCTCCTGGCAGGTCAGACGGGCCGCTACGTGCTGGTGCAGAAGCTGCGGGAGAAGGAGCGGCCTGGCCAAGTGTGGGCAGTATGCCAACGATGTGCAGTTTGTCCTGCGGCGGACAGGCCCCAGTGTGGCTGAGCGTCCCTCCTCGGAGGGTGCTCCCCAAGCCCCTGAGAGGACGTTCATCCGGGCCAGCTTGCCCATCAAGCCCAGGCTCACTGGCATGGATGCACCCCGTTCCCGGGAGCCGAAAAAATCCATGACCTTTAATCTGGGGCCTACAGGCTCCGGCAGCCTCTTCACCATGAGCCACTGGAGGCACCAAGTGCAGGAAGGGATGGACTTGGAGGGCAGTGGGGTTGTACAACCCTCCAAGGAGGAGCTGTTTAGGAGGGTGCTGCGGCAGCAGGAGCAGCTGCATTCCTTGGAGGCCCATGGGGACACGCTGGAGACGGACCTACGGCTCTGGGAGCGCAGCCGGCTCACCAGTCAGGAGGACGAGATCCTCTACCTGGAGCACCTGGTGCAGAGGAATGAGACAGAGCTGGGTGAGGAGGAGTTTTGGCAGAGCGAGCTCCGGCTGGAGAAGGAGTGTGAGCGGGAGCAGCAGGAGCGGGTTAGGAGCCTGCGGGCCAGCCTAGAGGAGTACACCCAGAGGATCTATGAGCTGAGTGCCCAAACCGAGGCGCTGCAGGAGGAGATCCAGTGGGAGATGGCTGAGAGGTCCAAGAGGGGAAAAGAGACTCCTGCACCTACCCCCACAGAGCTGGAGGACATGGCTGCCAAGATGAAAAGGGACCTAGAGGCCAAGGTCAAGCAAGGCACCCAGCTGGAGAGCAACCTGGCCAGCGTGGAGAAGGCCCTGGAGGAAGCTGAAAGGAACTTGCAGGTAGATAGGAATGGGTTGAGCAGCCCCCTGGGGTGGTGGGACCTTTGGGAGGGGATGGGACCAGCTTTCCAGTGGCATGGGGCTGATGGATTGAGGGGGGGTTTACTCCTGACCAGTGAGCGTGGGGCTGGATGCATGGAGGTGGCTCAGCAGCAGTGACCGCCGTCAGGCAGCACCACCACCCTTACCCAGCTGGCGCAGGAGCCCATTGCTCTCCATGCGTGCTGCACCTGGGCTGGGGCTTCTGCTGGCTGGTGCATGGGGGGCACAGTATCGCCCCGCTCCGGCACGGAGCAAAATGGTCCATGTGCAGAGTCGGTGGCATTGGCACAGGAGTCTGTCATCTTGGATGAAGGAGTCATGGACAGGGATAGCATAGGTCTCCGTGGTGCCTGTGCACGCAGTCTTTTGTCCATGCAAGCTGTGCAGGGGCTTGGGCTCATCACAGTGGCCGTGTGGTGTGGAGATAGCAGCAGTGGGGCTGAGCCGTGATGCCCCCACCTGTCCCAGCCCTCCCCAGCATCAGAAAGTCCAGGTGCTGTGTGACACCTGCCCACTGGGTCCCCTTCAGTGGAACGAAAGGGAGCAGCCGTGCTTCCAGCATCATCTTGAGCATCTCGTTTGCATCTGTGACCGCCGTGTGACGGGTGCTCGCACCCTCTTGTGGAGACGCAGCAAAGCAGGGCTGTTCCCAAAACAGTGCTTTCCACATCCCTGCTGCCCGGGCATCCCCCTTCCTACAGGCTCTCAGAGAGAGGTAGCTGAGCTGTGGTTACCCCCAAGATCCCTTCCACTGGCTCTGGCAGGGTGAGCCCCAGCTAGAGGACCAGCCCAGGGTGGGTATGCCAGCTGGTTTTGGGGCACGGGGGGGACATGTGGCTCACCCTGTCCCACCCCCTCGGTGTGTGTTTTGCAGGCCCAGACCCAAGAGCTGGAGGAGTTAAATAAGGAGCTGAGGCAGTGTAATTTGCAGCAGTTTATTCAGCAGACGGGGGCCACGGTGACCATCCTGCAGGCCAGGTCTGAGGAGGATGCCCAGCCGGAGCCGAGCCTGCGCGAGCTGCCAGCCTGCCGGAGAAACGGAGGTCAGCATGCTGCCGCCGGCTCGGCCGCGGGGGCTGCTCCTTGGGACCCCTGCCCGCTACCTGCCTCCCCCTGCAAGGGGGTTGGCATCCCCTTCGGGGGGGTTGGCTCCAAAGCTGACTGGTTCTGCCCTGGGCACTGAGGTTAGGCAGCAGGGACAGGGTTTTGGTGCTGACATGGATGTTGTTCACCACCCCAGGGGGTCTCTGAGTTTTGCCAGCCCTGGGGCTCCTTCTTCCTCCCCACTGAAGCTTCAGGGCTGCTCATAGCTATGCTCAGGAGTCACATCTTGTGTTGCTGCTTTTAGGGCCGGGGCAGCTGCAGGAAGCTTTCCTCCACAGCATTGCTGCATGCTACCACGGCCATGGTGGCAAAAAGCAGACAGCCACGGGCCAGTGGCAGCCCCTGGGGGCTGTGGGCTGGTGGGGACAGGCTGCAGCCACCGATTACATCTTCAAGTTAGGCAAGGAAAGGGCAAGCATGGTGCCCAGGACTAAGTCCACATCCTTGCAGGGACGAGAGGAGGTGTCGGGGGACTCCCATGGAAGGGGATGGGGGAAATCAGGGACCCAGTCAGGCTCCCAGTCTACTCTGGAGCACCCAAAGACGGTGACGTGGCTGTCCCATGGCACTGGAGCAGCCGTGCCTGGCGAATGCGGGAGGTGCGAGCCCTGCCTGAGCCAGGCATTTTTTCCCGTCTCATAGGTTTTCCTCCCACTGCCAATGCTGACTCACCTCCCCGGACCAGCACCAAGCAGCTCCTCAGCCATCCCAGGACCCTGCCAGAGCCCCTGGTGTCCAGCCTGAACCCCGAGGGTGCGTATGTCCCAGGCAGGCCTTTGGGAGGGCAAGCCAGGCTGGGGAGGCTGCATGGGAAATGAGGAGAGGCTTTTGCTGCCCAAAACAGGCTGCGGAGAGCGAGCACATGTGCTGGAAGCGGGAGGCTGGAGCTATTTATAGATGCCATTAGGAAGAGCAAGGCTTACACCCTGGCAGCCTCCACTCTGCTGCCAGGGGCTCGCACACTGGCAGTCCAGCTTTTCACCCTGCTGGGAGCTGCGGAGGATGCTCCTCATCTCCTCTCCTGCTGCCCCACATTCCCCAGGGCTAAGACCTTGCTAGGGTTAGGATAGGGAAGGTTTGGCTCCCATCTTTTACAGGAGTCACTTTCACTCCATCTTGAGGACCAGTTCACCACAAAACCCTTTCCATCTCCCATGACCCTTCTTCCACCTTGCAGCATGTTTTTGGGTGCAGCAAAAGCAAGTTCTGATGTCCCTGGCTGCATCCTGGCATCCTATTTCCACTAATGCCACCATCCCCTCAGCAAAACCCTACTGCCATCCTCCTCACAGCTCAAAATGTCCATCCCTATGTCACCAGATGCTGTGGCATCTGCAAGTCCATCTCCCAGTCCAGGCTTTGTGCTCATGTACACCCTGTTTTCTGTTCCTCTTTTCACAAGCGCTCGCCTACCATGATGGGGTTGCTCAGGTTGTTTTTGTCTTGTCTTGCAGTCATATCAACCAGGCAGAGCATCTGGAGGTAGAAGGGCCTGGCCACCAGAGGATTGATTGCCTTGCAAGTGTAACTGTATAAATAAACCATATATATATTTTTTTTTAATTTTTTTTTACTGCTTTATATCGTGAATGGATGTGGATGGCCAGACAGAGTATTTTTACAGACTGTGAAATAAAACCAGAGACCGATGACACAAAGCAACATTCTTCCCCTGTTGATGGAAGAAACTTCCTTCTATTTTTTTAAAGTGCTTTCTATATTCAACAGAGAACAGCAGTGCTCCCATTCTGTGTAGCCTGCTCAAAAGACCCATCATGCATTCAGAAAAGTCCTTGCTCCTTTGATGAGGGGAGCGAAGCAGTGGTGGAGACCTGCCTGGAGGCTCACCTGGATGGAGCAAGTTAATGGGTTTTACAGCATCTCACTGCAGCAAGCGGGGCCATGGCAGACGGCCTCTTCACTGGCTGCAGGGCAGGCACAAGAACAGCTTTAAGACAAATTTCCGCCCCTCTCTTTTATTATTATAAGGAACTTGTATTAGAAACGCCTTTTCCACGGTGCCACAGACCAGACGTCAAGGGAGCAGGAACACACAGCAGGGGCTTTTTTTTCTTAAAACCGCTTAATTTTTAAACTTGTTTTTAAAATAAAAAGATCAGAATAAGCCCTTCCCTGGTGGCAGTGCAGGTGGGGAGCAGGACCAAAATGCTCTTGGTGACATTTCACTGTTCTTGGGTTTGTTTTGTTGGGTTTTTTTTTAACTTGATGGCCAGTAGTTACTCTTGGGTTTTGTCATCTGTCCCGGGGGTTGCCTTGTATTTCAATTGCGAAACCAAAGTGGTCTGGGGAGGGGATGAGTTTGTCCAGGAGGTCCCCAAGCCCGTGTTCAACATGTCACACGCAAAAAACGTGACTTGAGCAGTGTTTGCCATAAAACCCTGCTCTCCCTGTGTGAATGTAACCTGGTGTGCTGCAACTGTAATTTTCAATAAATCTTTGGGAAAGGATTTGAGCGAAGCAAGCGTGTGTGCTGTGGCCTGGGCGAGCCATCCCCACTGGCTCCTGGTCTAGTGCCCAATGGGCATATCCGAGTGATTTGCACATTAACGCAGACTCCTCTTTTGTTTCCAAGCCATCTCCATCTCTTTCCATTTGCCGAATTAAAGCTGTAAGTATTTTATGACCAAATGCATCTTATGCACATGCTCCTTGGGGTTTTTTTGTGATTTTTTTTTTTCTCTTTTTAAGTCACAAAGTACTTTACAACCAGTGGATGAGGCTTATCTCCAGTGAGAGGGCGGCTGTCTCTGGGATGAAACATGGCAGCATTTTAATAATGCACAGCGGCAGCTTTTGAGTGTTTTAGGGCAGGAGGCAAAGGGGATGGATGGTGCTCAGCTGCAGACAGGAGCAGGTAAGGGCAAAACCTCCCATTTGCCTTCATGCTCCTCCGTCTGCACTGGGATAACCACAAGCGAGAAAGTCAGATCTTGCTCTCGCCCAGCATCTCCCCTGAGGCTCTGGTCTCCAGGGACATGCCCCTCTCAAAGCTGGTTTTTGAGGTGCCGCTGGAGCTCAGCAGGTTGGTCAAGTGACAGTGAAAGATTAAAGTGCTTTGTTGGGAAAGCGCTGGTGCAGCTGCGTCTCCAGTTACGACTACAGTGAGATGCAATTTCAGAGTCATCTTTTTCTGAATCGGGGGGAGGGTTTCCTGGGCTGGTTTTAGGTTGGTTTTGTTTGGTTGGTTTTGTTGGTTCCCACCCACCTTAAATCATGTATCTGGGAGAAAATTAGTTTAAAATACATTTGCACCATGTAGCTGCATCAAGGAGTTTCTCCCCTGCTTGCTTGCTTTTTGGGATTCTTGTGTTCGTTGTTTGGACTCGCTTACTTTTAAAATAAGAGTCCATGTTGCTAAGAGCAGTGGAGGGTGATGGAGGTTGTAAAGGACATTTCAGTGCTGCTTGGGGGCAAAACACCAGACAAGCAGGTTCAGAAAACCCGCTTGCCTTGGACATGGGCAGATTTTGGGATGTTATGTGAAGTCCTCTCTGTGCCCTGAAAACCTGACCTCTGTGGATAAGAACTGTATCTTTCATTTTTCAGACTACATTTGTAGATTTGCCTTCTGCAGAATAAATAGGAAGACAAAAGGGTCACCACTTACAGCAACTCCCACCAGGAAAAACAGGGCAGACAATTAATTTGAATCTCTGATTTTGCATGGGGGGTTTGCCCTGTGCTTCTGCTTATATTTTATTTATTATTTTTGTGGATTATTTCTCTTCAGACATGGACTGACGGGCTAAATCAGCACCATTCTTTATTAGGAGGGAGGTGAGAGAGTAGAAAGAAGGGTTTAAAGAAAAAAAAATATATATGTACATATCTGTCTCACAGCAGACTTTGGCCCTGTAGCTGATGCTGCTTGGCTGTGATGCAGGATTTGGAACTGCTGCATGGGATGGGGAACAGTGTAACTTGGCTGTCCCCCTTACCGAGGTCTGAGAATCAGGCATGGGATTAGGGAGAGCACCATGGCTGTGGGCTGACTGGTTTTTTTCAGCTCAAAGCTGTGGCGTTTTGCAGATTTTTATTTTTTTTCGTTTTGTGTTGTATAAACATCACCCGGCTGCTGTAAAGGCAGCAGTGTTTCGTAAGGTAATAAATTATTTTGATTAACGCCTCTCCTCCTGCCGTGGTGCCTATGGCAGCAGGGGGAAGAGGTGTTAATCAAACTCATTTATTACCTTAGGAAACTTCCACCCGCAAGTGACCCATATTCCTCCCAGCACAGGGGGGCGTGCAATGGCACGGCGAGCGTGTGGGTCCCTGTGCGTTATTTAACCAAGCGAGGCTCGATACCCGCTGTGGCTCCCCTGCCTTTCTGCTTTTATCTGGTCTAAAGGCTATGTCAATAATACATTTCTGCCATTGAATATTTTATTGATGGTTTGACTTTTTTTGCTGCTCGCAATTCCCATTTCAAGGCTGCGTGATTGTTCCTAATTAAAATTTTATGCCCTGGGAGAAGCCTTCTTCCTACAGTGGAGATGATGCTGTCCTTTTCTAGGCCACTACAGAGCAGTAGGAAGGAATTATTCATTGTTATGAGATTAAACAAAGCAAATAAATTACTGTCTTTTCCTTTAAAAAAACAAACTAAAAGCCGAGCATACAGAGAGTACTGGGGAGGGAACAACCGGCTTGCGAGCGAGGCAGGGATCCAAGCGTACGGGGTGGCTCAAGGATGCTAGGCCTTGGTGAGCGAGGAGTTGCGTTTCCGTGTCCCTCGGGCACTGCAGGGCAGCTTCTTCCTTCCTTGCGGCAGGCAGGAGTGGGCTTCTCCCTCTTGGATGGTTCTCGCTACCAGTGCCACATAAAAATCATGAAGCAGAGGACATAACTGTTTTTCTCTGGCAAACAGTCCCAGTAATTTTTTTAAATAATAAAATAAATTTGTAAGGTACCAGTAGGCTCTGTCAGCACAAGGCACCATTCGGGAGGGTAATTCAGCTACCTCCAGCCTCCCTGGGGCTCTTCAGTCTGCACTATCCGATTCTCACTGATTTTTTTTTAATATTGCATAAGAAAAATGGCTCACAGCTTCTTGTCCATCTACCCTGGACTGTGTCGGCTCGTTAGGCCAGGCATCCTCTGCAGATGGTGCTCAGGGTGCCCATGCCCAGTGGGCAGTTTTGAAGGGCAGCACAGCTGCAGCCACTTGAAACACCCCCAGTTTGCAGTCTCGGGTTTGTATGAGTTCCTTGGTGTCTGGGTTTGTTTTTATTTCCCCCCTCTGCCTAAATTACATCTAGAGTGCTAGAAGCATTTGTGCTGCCTCCCAGCCCCTAGATTTGGCAAGCAGCTTTTAAAGCACATGCTTCAGCACCAGTTACATAAAGAAAGGTGTGAATGACTGGAGGAGAAAATGCCTGTTGGTTTTGCTCCCTAAGTGGTGTACAGATGCTCTGCTGCTTGCTCCTGGGCACACAGCTCCTGCAAGGGTAGTTCACTGCAGACGGAGAAGAGAAACTATTTGAACTGTCATGTGTGTCCAGGCAGGAAGCATTGTCTGCTCTCCCTGTGATGATCTTCTTTATTCTGTCTCAGGGTAAAGATTGAGTGCATTCTACCTTGCCCTGGGAAAAAAAAAATCATAAAGCACTAGAGGAGGCTGGGAAATTTTCTTGTTTATGGATGAGCAAGTTTCAATCCCAATGGAACCTCCTGCCAGCAGAAATCTTTTTTTTTTTTTTAGGATGTATTATATAAGTCCCTGCTTGCATTTAACTGACTGACTCCCTCTTAAACAATTTATGTACTCCGATTCCTCACAGGCCAGCTTGCTCCTCAGCGAAGCTCACCACGTAGGACCTGCCACTGGCACACGTTATAGACAGAACACGATAGGTGCTTCCTAGCGCGGTGCTTGAAGCGTTAGGCCAGCTCACTTCCCTCTGCGAAGCACTGAAACGAGAACAAAATCTCTGAGGAGCACAAAGAATCCCTTCAGCTTAACAGGCCTGAATCTCAGCATCTTACCCTCTGTAAGGGATACCTCTGCCTCTCCCCAAAACATGTCTTACAGCATGAGTTTTGAGCAGGAGCTTTTAGCACCTGACTATTGTTACCAGGTGTTAAGCATCACCTTAGGATTCTCTTTAATTAGCTACTGAAAAAAATGAAATTAAGGGGCATCTTAGCCCTGGTGTATTTTCTTATTGCTTGGGAACATTCTGGGGCTCTTGGGCTATGGCAAAGGTGAAGGCACCAATGCTGGGGTTTCTGCCTGAGGAACAACGAGGTCACACCCTTTGCCTTGCCTCTTCAAGTCACCATAACTGGCTGCAGAGGCAAAATAAGAGAGAGGAGGCACAGGGCACGCAATGCAGACCTGTCACTGAGAAGGCAGAGCCGTCCTCTTCAGCTGGTCTGGTGCCCTGGATTACAGTAATAAGCACGCAAACACTGGTTTTGCACTATTTATTGAAGACTTCAGGTGACAGCACGGCAGGTTAGGTT